TGCGGGGCCCTTCGCTAGCTGCTCGCATAACCAAGCAACTTGCTGCTGCAGCTGCTGCTGCACCTTCTGCTGCAGCAGCAGTAGCTGCTGCTGCTGCTGCTGCGGCTGCTGTGGCATCAGTTGCTGCTGCTGCTGCTGCTGCTGCTGCGGCAGCAGCAGCACTTCTCGGTGACTCTCCTCCTTCATTCTATAGCTGTACTGCTGCAGCCTGTTATAGGGGGCCCCCTAGGGGGCCCTCCTCTCTGCTGCAGCAGCAAGGGGGGCCCCCTCTCCTCGCTGGGGGCCCCAGGAGAACGAGACAGCTTGGGGGGCCCCCCGGCGCTGCGGAGAAAGAGAAGACGAGGGGCCCCCGGGGGCCCCCCAACCCCTGCGCAGCAGCTTTGGTGAGCTCTATGTAGTGTATTGGCTGCTTTATAGAATATAAACTGATGCTAGTGTTTAGGGTTTATGAGGGTTTAGGGTTTGGGGTTTGTTAGCTTTATAGCGACACCATAGATGGCAAGAGAAGGGATTCATTGAGGGTTTAAAGTTTAGATTTTAGGGTTTAGGGTTTAGGGTTTAGGGTTTAGGGTTTAGGGTTTAGGGTTACCCCCAGGTGTACACTGAGGTGTACATACACCCCAAATAAAACGGTTCTTCTGCTATATCTCTCGGCTGCAGCAGCAACCAAAAGAACTGCCAAAAATAATTAAATAATAATATAAATTAATTAATAATATTAATGACAAAACAAACAAATAAACTGCTGAAACACCAGAAGAAAGGGGGGGGCCCCCCGGGGGGCCCCCCAACCATGTGCGCGTGTTGCTGGTGCTGCGGTGGTTGTCTACGCTGCTGCAGGTAAAGAGCTAAAAAAAAAAATAAAAAAGAGAAAAAAAAGAAATAAATATAAAAATAAAGGATAAAATATAATAAAAATAAATAAAAATAAAAAAATAAAAAAAAAAATAAATGACAGAAGTGGGGTTCGAACCCACGCCCTCACGGACTGCGGCCTTAACGCAGCGCCTTAGACCACTCGGCCATTCTGCCGAAATTTTTTCGCTAGCTGCCTATACACCTGAATATTTTTTTTTTTTTTTTTATTTTTTTTCTTTTTCTTCTTTATTTATTATATTTATACTGCACACACTCATGCAGAAACACACAGCTCTTCATACACTACCCCAAGACCTACGTTACTCCTGCTGCTGCTGCTGTTTCTGCAGCAGCAGCAACAGCAACAACAGCAGCACAACCTGCGGAGAGGGACGCAGAGAAAGGGGGCCCTTTGCTTCTTTTTTTTTCTCTTTTTTG